ACCACGTATCGAGATTTCAAAAATGACATACAACAGAAAACGCAAATGTATAGTACGTATCTCAGGATTGTCGAGGATAGCCGATAACTGTTTTACAAGGGGCTTGTCTTGTGCTTGCCAGCGGTGCACTTGAGGGATGCATGTATCCCCTCTCCTTGCATACCGACCAGCCCGGATGAGGACAGTTTATAGACCCATATCTGCAACAATTACGATTATTATATGTACAATTTAATAAAAAAATAGATAACTCATTATGTTAAACATTTACCTGCAAAGCTAACGGCATGCCATATACATTGTACTTACGCTCCGACCTATCTTCCCTAGGTATCGAATGCCCCCTCTTGAAGATGCGTAAAGTATCGACAAAGTATTTCTACCCCCATGGATAGCTGTTGAACGTATCGATGTTATCAACAACTTGCAAATGAAAAATGTCATTCGACGTCTTTCTATGATGACACCTCAGTACGCTCTCGAGTATAAACACCATCCCCAACTTCAACTTGTCGGACATCTGGTCACATCCCTTGATTGCATCTCCTAACTGCACCAGTGTCACTGTCGTGTGTCCATTAAAATAATCATTCAGCAGCCTTTTGTCTGTCGGAATACTAGCCCTTGCTGCCTCCTTGCCCGTACATCTCAATTCAGTGATGAGGGCAAACTCGAATATGGAAAATGTAGCAACCTTGCCCCCAAGATCAAAGTGGAGAGCATCTCCGTCAACTAGCTTAAGCAGTCGACATAGTAATGAATCGATCAACTGCCCAGAAAACTGTACGAAACACAGCGAATATAGGGGCCATAGGCAGGATCGACGTAATATCTCTGCGTGCTCTTTGTCCAATGAATCCAATACTGCTGTGAAGTTGGCAAAGTTATAGTTCGACGTAACTTTGCCAGAACCTGTTTCAAGGTGGTGTCCAAATAGTAATTCATCCTACAAAATTTCAAATATTAGAACATTTAAAACATAATATCACAAAATTCAACTAACCGAACTGTAACTAATATATACACGAAATAACAGATAATAAAAAAATGAATTAAAAATTAGACAACAAATTATAAAAAGCGAAAAACTAATTTTTGTTCATTATTTATTTTAATTCTTTATTTAATTTGTTCCAATTGTTTATTTACTGGTTATTTAAATTATTTTTTGAACATTTAAAATTAAGTATTTAACTATTTATTTCAAAATTTAGATATTTATTTCATTTTTTTATTTCACATTTATTTTAATTGTTTATTGAATGCTTAATTTTAATTATTTAATATAATTGTTTACTTAATTATTTTCATTTGTTTATTTAAATTATTTATTGAACATTTAAACGTAAATACTTAATTATTTGTTTTATTTTTCTTTAGTTTATTCAATATTTATTTTAATTATTAATTGAATATTTAATTATTTATTTTAGGAGTTAGATATTTATTTCAATTGTTTACCTAAATTTTAATTACTTACTTTGATTATTTTTATTTATTTATTATTTAAAATATAATTATTGTCTGATTGAAATTGTTTATTTTATATTCAATTACTAATTTTGATTATTTGTATTTAATTACTTATTTAAATAAATTATTTTGAATAATTATATTTCTTAGTTATTTAAATTGTTTATTTTTATTAAAATGTTCATTATTTTTTTTTCAATTGTTTATTTAAATTATTTATTTATTTATTTGTTTATTTATTTATTGAATGCTTAATTTTAATTATTATTATAATTATTATTTAATTATTTTCGTTGAATTATTTATTGAAAATTTAAACGTAAATATGTAATTATTTGTTTCATTTTTATTTAGTTGTTTATTCAATATTTATTTTAATTATTAATTGAATATTTAATTATTTATTTTAAACATTAGATATTTATTTCAATTGTTTGTCTACATTTTAATTACTTACTTTGATTATTTTTATTTTTTTATTATTTAAAATATAATTATAGTTTGATTGAAATTGTTTATTTTATATTTAATTACTAATTTTGATTATAATATTTATATTTCTTAGTTATTTAAATTGTTTATTTAAATTATCTATTTCAATTGTTTATTTGTTTATTTAACATTTATTTTAATTGTTATTGAATGCTTAATTTTAATTATTTTTTAGTAATTGTTTATTTAATTATTTTCATTAAATTATTTATTGAACATTAAACCGTAAATCTTAATTATTTGTTTTATTTTTCTTTAGTTTATTCAATATTTATTTTAATTATTAATTGAATATTTAATTATTTATTTTAGAAGTTAGATATTTATTTCAATTGTTTATCTAAATTTTAATTACTTATTTTGATTATTTTTATTTGTTTTTATTTCAAATATAATTATTGTTTGATTGAAATTGTTTATTTTATATTTAATTACTAATTTTGATTATTTATATTTAATTACTTATTTAAATCAATTATTTTGAATATTTATATTTCTTGGTTATTTACATTGTTTATGTATTATTTAAAATGTTAATTTTTTATTTCAATTGTTTTTTTATTTATTTGTTTCAATTGTTCGTTTAAATTATTTGATTTAATTATTTATATTTATTGATTATTTAAATTATTTATTGAACAAGTAAACGTAAATATTTAATTACTTATTTTAAATGTTAGAAATTTATTTCAATTAAATTTTAATTACATAGTTTGATTATTAATATTTACTCATTATTTATATTTTTTATTTTATCATTTAAATAATCATTTATTTATTATTTAAATGTTCATTATTTATTTTTGTGTATTTAAATTATTTATTTAAATACAACAAAAAAAATTGGGGAAAAAATAAAAGGGCAATAGTTGGGCCGTTCCAAACGGCCCAGCTGCCGCCTGGAAAAGACGGCCCAGCTTCATCTTTTACAGATGGCCCAAACGTTGGGCCATCTGGAAAATGATGGTCCAGTGCCCAACCTTTCTTGTCTAACAACAGCTGTTGAAGATCGCCATTTTCGACGATTTTCGACCCAAAAACACTTCCAAAAATGTCATTTTCAATAATTTCATATAATTTACAAAGATTTCTACCACTATTTCCAAAAAAATAAACTTTCAACATCCAAGTTCAAAGATTAATGGGAAAAAATAAGCAAAACTTACCTTCTTCGCTTCTAATGGTGGCCGGTCGGTCTCCTTCCAAGAAAAAGTTTTCGATTTCCTTGCTATTTCTTCCCCTTCTTTCTCCAGACGTCAGTGGAGGAAATGGTGGTAGGGACAATATTGGGTTTTCATTGTTTTTAAGGTTTTTACTAATTTTTCATTTTTTTTAAACAGTGATCAACGGTCATTTTGGAAAAATGGCTCTTTTTGGTGGCTATCTGCCACCATTTCCTCTAAAAAATGTCTTAACCATCGTTCTCTCGACTTAAAAGTTTGCACATGTCAACTACCAAATAATTCATCTACTTTTGCTGTAAATGATTCCTTCGCTTTGAAATAGCCTACAATTTTAGAAGTTTAACTTAAATTGAAAACTCCATATTCATAATCATATGTGATCCTGTTTGCATTCCATCTTCAATCTGAATTCTAATTTTCACTACAAATTTTCTAATTTATGGAAAATAAATCAGTAAGATAACACCCATTAGCACATTTTCCAAATAGCTTATGATATTCAGATATCCAGAATCAAGATACAAACCAGTAATTGACAAGGAACTTGCGGTCACATAGACAAATATGTGTCAACTTTCTACAATCCCATCCTCATCTTGTGCAGTGATAATATGTTATGCAATCTGATATATTTATCACAAAGAAACTACTACGAAAAGCTTGTGTAATGGCCACACACACCAGAAAAAATAAAAAGTTTATGTGATATTTGTTTCCTACAAGAAGATACATATATTTCACTCTTTTGAATTGAGAGAATCTATCGAAATTTCACAAAAGTATTGGATTGAACAAGTTCATGGCACGTTCGTTACGAAAATAAATGGTTCAATAAATCATAAACTTGTTATCTGAAAAATATTTAAAAGTAAAAAGGGACTTGTTGCGGTCCAATATTTATTGCATAAAGGTTTTCCTTATTCTTGAACTCGACCACCGCCCGATCTAAAGTTATTCAAACATGCTAGCAGATAAGCATTAGCTATTAGAATGAATCTTGTAACACTTCACTTGCTACATCACCAGCAATTGAATCAAGAAACTGATGTTAATGAAGGTAAAGCATTTAGACACTTAATTCTACCAAAGCAATAAGACTACTATTCATACTCATTTGTAGTATGATACTGTCACTTGATTTGATATAATATTACTTTTAAACAGGTATATAGTAAAAACGAGTGATGAATAATAATTTATTTTTATAAAAGACGTGTATTTACAATCATTTATTTCTTGAACTTGCACATTAGTCAAAGAGAGTAAAATGGTTATTTAGAAATATTGATTAGGATACGACACATGTATATATCAAACACATGATCTTCAATTCTAAAGTATTAAGTCTTAAGTCTATCTTTTACAAAGCAAGACAAGATTTTGATATGGAATTCTTAAAGAATAAAAAAAATATTTGATAAAAACTAAAAGTTTCACTTTCTATTGAGCATAAAAAAGAATTGGGACAGTAATAAAGGAATGATTTTATAAGTTTTTGGAAACATTTAGAGAGATATTATGAATTTTCATTAGAGTCAATTTTGGGGATTTTTCCATAAATCAAGCTAATTTGTGTTATTTAGCTTTTTAAAAAATTAATCATTTTTACTACAAATTAAGAGTAACTTTAGAAATAAAAAATGAGCGTAGTAAAAATGGAATTAGAATTTGTATAATAGTGCCTCGTGTAATTTGCACTTATTATTATTATTTTTTTGTTTAGCCTGTTTCCCTGTCTTCAAGGCCGGAGAAAAGCCCAATGTCCAATTGCCAACAGCCCACGACCCGTTTGCTGACACAGTGACCCTGACGGGCCTGACCCATTCCCCTCAAAAATCAATTTACTCGTTTTCCTCTTCATATTTCATCCATTTGAAAATTGAAATCAAAACCCTTCCCTTCGTGTCTTTCGTGAGTTTGTGTCGTCCGGACCGGTCGCCACTTCCTCTCCGCCGGCGCCTGTCACTGCCACTTGCCAGCCGTTCCAGACTTCCAGTCCTGCATTTCCTAGATTAGGCGCTCTAATCTCCGTCTCCGACTCTAGTGACTCATCCTCTGCCGCTCCTTAAACCGCCAACCGCCACCGGAACCGGCTATTCTTCCAGCAATTGGAGGCAGCCAGCCCAACGAAAGAAGAAGCCGGAAGAAGGTGAAGTCCTTCCCAATTTCAATTTTTCACCAGTATGGCAGACTGGCAGTGTCCAGTGATTTTGAATTTTTTCCCTTATTTGTTGTTGAATATGAAAACTCGCAATGAACAAGTTTAATATATAAATTATGTCGTTTTTAGTATTTCTGTAATATTGTTTTATTTTTTTTGTCATCATTAAATCCACGATCAAAATCTTGACGTTCGGCATCGAAAAATGTTGCCTGCACTGAACTCAAATCCTGGCTTCGCCCCCTGCAATTGTTGTTTTGTTTATCTATTCCTAATTTATCAGTTAGGCCAGTGATATCGATCTTGATGGTGTAGTGGGTGCGCACGCATTAGTTTCTTGTGTATGCCATGTGTTCGACGAAATGCTCATTTACATTTTTGTTTAAGAATTATTTTATTCAAAGATTTAAATTTGTAATATTACATAATTAAATTTATGAAGATAATAATTTATCATTAAAGAATTTTATGCAGTGTCGTCTTACACCAAAAGTGTACTTAAAAAAAAAAAAAAAAAAAAAATTAAAATGAAAATTCCAAAAGTAGAGGCGAAGATAATTTTTGCTTCTTAATGTTTTTATAAATGTTTTCATAGCAAATGCTTGTTGAAATCTAGAAGATGTGGAACCTTCTTGTTTCCTTGGTTTTTAAGGGCATAATTTGGTTACTTTTTGATTGTTTCAGCACCATGGAGTATTGAGTAACTTTGAGTTTTGCAAAATTATAGAGTTCGTAAATTCCTAATGATTGTGATCTTTTTGTTCTTTGATGATTATATTTTGTACAGTTGAGGAAGACTTGTTGAAGAAAAACTTATAGAGCATCGAGTAATGGTGGGTTGGAGGTGGAATCTGCAGTCTTTAATATATCAGGCTGCCAAGAGATTGGAATACTGTGGCAATGGTTCATTTAATGCTTTCTATCACTCCAAGACTTCTCTAAGGCCCGGTAATCCATTAAAGTATTTTTGGAATGTTTAGGGACTACTCTCTGCATGCTGTTTGAGTTGAATAAGCTGATGATATATGGCATGTGAGCAGAACCAATTAAATTCATATTATTATTTCGAAATTACTATGCATTTATTAATGTTTCTTCTCTTTACATGGTTGTATTAAATCTTTAGATAGGAGGCTTTTTAGATTTTATTTTTGCTTTATATTAAGTCTTTTCTTATTTATTTTTAAGGGTCTCGAAGTGTGCATACTTGCTCATCTCATTTTTTGACAATAAATTCTACATGTGCAGGTGAGTTCCATTGTTTATCAAGCCTGCGGAATTCACTTTCTACAACCTTATCAAGTCAACCGCACCACTATATACAGAATTGGGTAATCTCTCCAACCCTTATTACGTATTTAGATATTGTTGAACAAAATAAAACCGGTAAAATGTATTTAAAATTGACAGTAAAAATAACTGGAAAGGGTGGAAAAAGAATTAGAACTTTCTATGTGGAAACAAATATGATCACCCATTATATTCTGTATACTGCTGTGAATCTTCTAACTGTGACTGCTAAACACTTAACAGAACACTATTTATGGAGGTTTGTGGCTGATTGTTCCTTTCTTGAGTTGATAATTTGTACTACATTACAGGCATTTTCTTTCATGTCCAGATACAAATTTTCATTCAATTCTTGGATTAAGATCTAGCAGATGCTTCTCTGTGTTTAGCTCTCCTTATCGAGACATATTCCTTGATTATGTTTCTGTATTTAGAAATGTCAAACTTCCTTTGGACAGGGATTCACCAGTTCAAGGAGATTGCTTGTGGAGTCATCTGAAGCAGCTCCAGTTTCTTCCCCATTAATTCTGGTTTTACCCTCAAGCACTGGAAATACTGAAACTCAAAAGGTTATTTCGAAGCCTTCAAAAGTTCAAGCAGTTTTAAAGAAAATTAAACAGGTACAAGATGCCTCTTATATATCTCTTTCCACTAATTACTAAGATTAAACTTAGCCCAAAACATATTTGGGATTCTTTGAGAATTCAAACATCTAATGACTCATTTCTATAGACTTAACCTAGTCTATTTGGTGTTCATATACATGTTATCAAAAAGTCAGGAAAGCGTCTTTCATGAAGCAATGGTTGAGTAGTGCAATAATTAAACTTAATCCAAAACTTATTTGGGATTCTTTGAGAATTCAAACATCTAATAACTCATTTCTATGGTCTCAACCAAGTCTATTTAGCATTCATAAGCATGTTATCAAAAAGTTAGGAAAGTATCTTTCATGAAGTGATGATTTAGTAGTGCAATAAGTAAATGGACGGTTAAATCACGTTTGTTTTCATCCATGTTGTTTCATATTCTTTTACATGCACTAGTATGTAACGTGTGATGCATTTGGTGTGTGTGTGTGTGTGTTAGAGATAATTGGATGAAACTTGTTCAAATTTACCCTATATAGAATTCATATAAAGAAATGCACAAAATGCCGAATTGGTTAAATAAGCTCAAGTGGTCCAATTTTTTAAGTCTGGCAAACACATTTTCAGTTAATAACCTGGGCACATAATCCCACGAGAACCTATATTTTTATGATATAAACTAATAGCCAGAAATGATGCGTATAATTAAACATTCTTGAGGACAAATGACATAAACAGTTCCCAACCCTAATCGAAATAACCAAAAAATTGGCAAAATAGAAGAGAAAGAAAGAAAAAGATATCGTGTAAGGTTATAGATGTTGTGCAATGTCTGCCTAGTAAACTCACCTAGTTGGCATGAATCAATCGATAGTTAATTTGAATCAAAAGCTTATCCAGTCCTTCTTGAAACCTGAACAGACTTTATATAGCTTTTCAAGTTGTCCTTATACTACTTTATGAGAGTGATTGTACACCTAGGTAACTAACAGAAGACGACAAGATGTTTCCACAAAATGCTTGTATATGCTTTAGTAACTAGCATTTGTTACTAAGGAAAAGTTGTTCTCTCTCTATTGTTAATGTGTACACTGATTGTTAGAATTTGTTCTTTTAAATATGTCAATTCTTCAGATAAAGTTGCCACTTTCTCCGGACATCAATTTTCTCATCTTCAATTACATAGTTCTATTTCAGCAACTTTCAACTCATCATTATTTGCTGAAGCCTCTTTCTTTTGTACAAATTTAATGAAGCCAGCTGAAGCTGATTGCTTAGTAACTGTGTTGATGCGTCGTGCTGTCACTCTTGCTGGATGCATCAACACAAATAACACAATCTGAACTGCCCTGTTCACCTAATAAAGTAGCAAATCATATAAGAAAACAAAAATATGAAAATAAGCCTCACTATAATTAATAGATACCTTAAGCTAAACAAAGAGGTGGCATTTTCTGGTTCATTTAAAGGAACAAGAATAGAAATGGATATAAGATCTATTTTGATAATCTGTATTAAAATAAGACAATTTCTTAAGGAAGTATAATTAGATTCAGAAGGTCATAAGTTAGAACACACATTCAATACAATGTAAAATTCAGACAATAAATGAACTGAGTGCATTAAGAAATCATTTTACGATAACTCCATTACCTGATCAGGGACTAAGCTAGTTGGTCAACTAATCTCTTCGTGTGTTTATAGGGGAAGACGACTTATTGCGTAATTGTTTGATCGTACCACTTTGAAAGCTACAGAAAGTAGCGGTCTCCAAGCTCTGTCTGGTCGAAAATTTATTCAAGCTCTCATTTGCAATTGCTGCCCTGTCAAAAATGGGAGAGAGAGACCGAAACAATCTTTATAATTATTTTAGTTGCAACAATGAAATGTATTTTACTGGAGGAATGCAATTTTTAGTATTTAATTTAATCAAGAGAATATTAATCTAAGGACATATTAGGAATTATAAATTATTTAAGGACATTTTTGTCCAGAAATGTTTCTCCTACTTGTGGATTTTTATATATGGTATATATAGATTTGAGTTTAAATTAGTTGCTGGTTCATGCTCACGCTGAATTTATTGCATTAAGGAATGAGCAATCAAGCTATTAATCAGACCATATTTCGACTGCCAAAATTCATGGCTTCTTTTAGACATAGAAGACCCTCAAGTTCTTTATTAATTGGATGCTTTGAATGCCAATGAGGATAAGGTCTTGTTTTCATTGCTATAGGATTTAAGCTTCTACAGCGTTTCCGATTATAGCACTATATAAATATCAAGAATGGTTGAATATTATCTCTTCATAGTTTTTCTTTTCTCATCTAGGTGGATCTATCATCTCTACACTTGTACAGTTTAGAAGGCTAATAGATCAAATAATTTATGTGTTGCAAGTGCAAGGAACTTTTACTGTATACACCATTTGTTTTCCAATCTTCATGCAGTTTTCTTTTTTCAGAGTCCTAAGAAGCTGAACTTGGTTGCTGCGTTGGTCCGGGGAATGCGTGTTGAAGATGCACTATTGCAGTTGCAAGTGACAGTAAAGAGAGCTGCTAAAACTGTCTATCAGGTGATATTTCTAACAGGCAGCTTAATGTGGTTACAATATATTTAGGTTCTAAATATGCTTAACTAATTCTTGTTCTGTAGGTTTTTGCTTCTTTCTTTAGTTAATGTTCCTCCTTGATTCATCCATCCCTTTTTCACTCACAAGGGGTTTCGACCTCGTAAAAGTTTTTAAATATCGCTCAGACCTATATTCTTTCCCGTATGATCCATGAAGTTAGCATATGTGCTTCAGCTCAGGAACATTCATCGGACTTGTGTATAGATCTAAGTGCTAGGCATGCGATCTAAAATTTTAAGACTTGGGGATTCTCTTAGAATGTTAAACTTTAGACATGGATACAATGTCACATCATTTGGTAACACTATTAAAACTAATATTGGATTCTTCTAGATTTTCTACATAAATTTGACATGATGAAGTATTCAAAGTTATGCATTTTCAAGGAAGAATGTAAACTTTAAATTAAAAATGAGACAGTGAAGCAAAATCTAGTTCTAGTTTTGGATTATTGTTTGTGCCTTGTATTAGTATAAGGTATCAGAGATTCTTGTCAGTTCCTGAAGGTCCGACACGTATGTCATGAGGACACATAGTATGCTATAGTGATAGAAATGTTGGGATAACATATTTTGCCATTCAGAAGAGAAATGCTGGTGGGGAAACCAAAGGGGTTAGCAGACTTTTTATACCATCTATTTCTTCTTAATGCATAAGTAATTACAGTGCTGGGTCCTTGTAAGCATAATCGTGGTCCTCCTCTGAGAAGAAGAACACTTTGCTAATTAGATGCAATATGACAAACATGTGATGTGCAGGTTATACATTCCGCTCGTGCTAATGCAACCCACAATCATGGGCTTGATGCAGATCGTCTTCTTGTTGGTAAATATGGATAATGCAATCCTTTTATTTTGCTTTTATAATTTCAGTAGCTGCTAATTTGTTTTCTCCAATTTCCTGTAGCTGAGGCATTTGTTGGAAAGGGATTCTTCAAAAAGAGGGTTTCATACCATTCTAAAGGTAGATCTGGAATAAAAGTGAGACCAGAGTGTAGGCTGACGGTGGTAATCAGGGAGATAACCCCAGAGGAGGAGGCTGAGATAGCTAGATTGAGGGTCAACAACTTCCGCAAGCTTACTAAACGAGAGAAGCGACTGGTGCCTCATAAACTTATCGAGACCACCCCAATATGGGATCGCAAAAGTAAAACAAGGAGTCAGGAATCTAGTGCTATTGGTGCGTGAACTCCTTCATGATGACATCGTGGGAGATCGCCGAGAGAATAATATCGTTCTTGTTTCTTGCTTTTCTTGGATGTTTCTCGTTTAGCATTTGGAATGTAATCACCTTATGGTTCAATGAAATAGGTCTTGTTTGTCTAGGGCTGTTTTGAGTTGCACTAGACTAACAACTGAAATTTGCACTCTCTCTTATGGGTTGGTGAATGGCATATTTTTTGTTGGATAATTATGTTACTTTACATAAAATCTTGTGAACTAGTCTAGCATGAACATATGTTGCAATAAAGTTGCAACTAAAGCAATCCTTTTTCGAGCATTCAACACTAGATTCCCACATTAATGCCGTACAATACTTCAATATGGTAGCAGGTGTGTCAAGATCAAATTAACTCCTGGCATATTGCATATTGGCTGATGGCTTAACTTTTGAAAAAGGCTTAGTGCAGGAGTTCTCTTTCAAGCTTCAAAATTCATATACCATAAAATTTTATACTTCAGGAATTGCTTATTTTGACCTAGTCATATAAAGTAGAAAACACAACTAGGTAGAAAGCAATGAAATAAAATTATAATCCACCATCAATAATGTACCAGAGATTCAATAAGTTACACAGTAATGTGATCGTATCCCAACCCCAGAAACCGAAGGAAAAAGTATAACAAATTTATCAAGCTTGACTCAAAGTTACAAATGGAAGTGTGAAGTACGACACTGATCCACGGAAACCTCAGCTTTGCATGTCAACGCACGACACTGATCCACGGAAACCTCAGCTTTGCATGTCAACGCTACGGTACCTAGTGATCTCAACGCCCAAATAGTCCACTGGACCTTGCACTGCCACATGAGGCTTTCCGACTTGCACCCGGACAGCAGACACCTGGTGGTAGTTGCTTAAGATTGTTGACGCAATAAGTTGAGCCACAGATTCAAGAAGATTTTGTGAGGCTCCTTCAACAACCTCTTTAACTATGCTGCAAGCACGGATCAAAACATTGAATAACATATCGTAATAGAAAACATATGACCGAAGAATAGAGCAGATACTGTAAAACTGAAACGAATCAGAATTTGAGGTAAGTTTTGCACCATTTTGTACCAAATCTTGCACCAACTTGAAAATCATCTCCAACTCATTTCACCAACACTTACACCAAATGAACAATGTTTAATCATTTTCTTCATTTTTTGATTCTTAACAATTTATTTATTTGAAAAATTATTTATTTATTTATTTTACAACTACATAAATTACTAAATAAATAATTACATTAAATTAACGATAATAATAAATTTACTAATAAATTTAAAAAATATAGTACAATTAATAGAAACACTACAAAATAAAATATTAAATCATGTCATTAAAAAAAAGTGCAATGTGTTTCAAATCTTGATATCATGATATTACGAAGTCGAAATAGTGCTGCAATTTAATTCTCGGAATTTGTATATTCATCTCACAAATAATGACGACGATGATAATATTTTATTGCATTAAAAAATGTATAACAAAAATGGGCACAAATACCCTTAACCGATTTTTTTCCAAAGTGAAAGAGAAGGCAAAAATTGTATTTAAACATTTTCGTGCAAAATTGTGTAAAGTATGGTGCTAGGTTGTTTGGTGTGTGCAATTTTTTTTTTTTTTTTTTTTTTTTTTTTTTTTTTTTTTTTTTTTTTTTTTTTTTTTTTTTTTTTTTTTTTTTTTTTTTTTTTTTTTTTTTTTTTTTTTTTTTTTTTTTACTATGGGTGTTTGGGTCAGTTTACGCGCACGTTGACTAATCCTACGGGGACCTAAAATTTACAGTCGAGTACTAATCTCAGTGGCTTTAAGGAAACTCGAACTGATGACACTGGGAGCAAACTCAAAGTCTCATCATTGAGCTACCCCTTAGGGTAAGCACTTGTTTTATTTATTCAAAAGCCAATCATGTCACCATGAGCCTTCCCCCTCCTCAATTAACATGGAAGCAAGCAGCACACAGTTATTTTAGTATCAAAAAAATATTCCATTTTTTCGAAAAATGTCTAAATTCAAAATATTACAACTATCAATCCAATCCCAAATTTATTGGCGATGAGGCTCAGTTTCTTAATATATTATTACAGTGGTTAAAAGCAACAAGGTAACCCTAATAGGCTAATACAGTACCCATATAAATAGAAAGCAGCATAGGAGAGGCCTTTAGGTAAACAGCTATTCTAGCACTAAAGAGCGTAACCATCATCAAAGGGCAATGGCAAATTAGGTTCATCCAGCCATCTCAAGGAAATTGAAAATTAGCTGAATTCTATTGAAATCCAGAATTTCCCCTCCACTTCCAAGCATTATATACATTTTCATTCAATTTCTCGGATCAAATTTGCACATACAAGAATCTGAATTAACTTTGGTTTCAAATTATCTAAGGCTCCATTCACAAGTTCAAACTTTGAGGCCCTCATTTCTATGTAACCAAACATGGAGTTAGTGTTGGTCGCTATTTTATTTATTATAGTGCAGACTTCGCTGCTGCTCAGTCTATGAAGTCTCAAAAAGAAATAAAGAAAGCTACTTTCTTGGTCAATGTATTTTACTCATTCAGAACAATTTCTCTGCTTACTCAATCATGCAGTTGACCCAAAATTATCAGCGAAGAAGCTTAGTTTCTTGAAAGTACAGGCTCAATACCGGCCTTGTAGAAAAGACATGAGGGAAAGTTGCTTTAAGAAACTGAGAATGGACTGATCTTACTTATTGTCAAAGAAAAATAATCAGCCAAACAGCTATATACCAACACTAAAACGTAGCAATTGGTTTCCAGTACAGATATTACCATGATACTGTCAATTCAATTATGAAAAGATTTCAATTTCGAGGCACTTAAAGGTGACTATCAACAATTTGATAAGCAATGGCCTTCAACTGTCTATATCCCATGGCAAAGTCAGACATCTATAGTTTCATAATAAACTTGAGTCGACTTGCTATCAACTCAACTATGTCAAACGCAGATAATTGTTAATCACTTACCGGTATATGGCAGTATAACTGATGGTATCAGACAAGTTGTCGGAATTTCCTGCAACTCGAAGATCCATCCAGGCATCTACATCTATCAAGAATTTCTGTCCCAACTTCCTTTCTTCTGGCTTCACCCCATGGTACCCATGAAATTTTAATCCCCTTAATACAAGTTTGTCTCCGTTTAGCATCTCCCGATGATCTGTTACTTGGACTAGAATGCAGGTTAGAGTTAGTGTTATGCACTTCAATTATCTATCAGAAGAGGGAAAATAACTGATGAAACATTCACACACATAGGCAAGTATTTAATAATTAGGGGGCAGCTGTTCAGCCCCCTACGATACTAGGACCAATAGGTCAAAAATAGATTTGTGCCGCAGGTGTTGAACGATGTACGGTATACAGGTGTGTGCTTACAGGGGTAGGGATCATAAACCCTTTCTTTTACTAGAGGAATCCCTAACA